CCCCTGGCTGGGCAGGCCCTGCCCCCTCCCTCACCATGGGGGGGCGTTGTTCTGCCGCCCCTATGCCCCTTCTTTCCCCCTCCTCTTCCACCACACAGATTCACCAGCTGGAGGCAACGGTATTGGAAATCAGATCAGTATCGCCAATATGCCTCCTTAAATATTGGGTATTGGTATCGGCCCCCAAAATCTCTATCAGTGCACCCCTAGATGTAAGCCTTTCCCCAAGAGTCTTACATTTTAATGGTACTTCCACATGGCAACCCAAAAGCAAATCTATCCAAGCTAGCTATCTCAGGTACTAATAAGAACATAGCTTCTAGCAGCACAGGGTTCAATATAGGCTGCAAAATCTGCCCACCATCCTGCGTAGATACTTAGGCTGGCCCAAGCTGACCTCTGTGCTGTTATGTTACCGATACCTGAACTAGGTCGTTTAAAGCTAACTTGGCTATATCTATTTCAACTAGAGTCGTACCTTTAAATTGTAGGGGAGAAAAAAGAAAATTACTTGTAGAACATAACTAAACAAAGACGGAGTAACGGCTCCATTATCCTTTATTTTTAAGTCTACTACATGTTTGAATTGGTTTTAGGCAAATATTTCTATTTGAGAGAATAAGTAGAAATTGGACACATTGATTTTGGATTATGTGAACATATTCTAGATAAGCACAATGGAACATGAGCATTTAGTGAAAGAGCACGGATTTGAGGCCCAACTGAAAGAGCTAGAAGATGCTAACCAAAATTCCACTGGTGAACTGAGACGTCTTTTGGTAGCTCAGCAAAAAGCAACAAACCGGTGGAAGGAAGAAACAAAGAAGCTGACAGAAACAACAGAGACCAGGATCAGTAACCTGAAGTAAGTTCAATCTTGTTAGTGTTTTTCTTTAATTAGTTGCACTCTTCAGTTTTGGTCATCATTATGAAATTGTACATGCTGTGGAAATAAATGATGGTGAGCAAAACAGTCCAGTCCAGGGAAAATGTTGCATTTTCTGCAGACAAAAGATGCTGCAAAAGCAACATTTGGAAACTTCTTGCTCAGTTGCTGCACTGTTCCAAATTTAGAAAGGCAAATTTAGAAATTAGAGCTTTCTACCCATTTGACATTTTATTACAGAGAATAGCTGTTACATTTTTTTTCTTTCCAAGTAAACTGTCACGTTTTAGGAAACTTGAGCTCTGGTTTATGAAAATGTCTATACAGTAGAACCCAGTTTCTACTCGGGGTTAAATTCCTAACCAACTAGCTAAGACGAGAGTTTGCAAACTAACAGGGAATGCCTTTGTACCACACGAAAGACCTGCACAGAACAGATGAGCAGTATCTCCCTAATTAAGCAAACTGCTGTGAATTAAGCAAGTTATAAACCACTTGGATATGAAAAATCCAGGTTCCACTATATTTTACACTTCTTGAAGTTACCCTCCTTAAATTCTGTTGCAGATTGTCACTGAATTTCAAGAAAGCTCTGAAAAGCATTGCCTGTTGGAGGCCACATGAGTATTGTCTTCTGATACCAGGTGTTCAAACATGAGGTTATAAAAGCATCTTTTGAATCCATTCAGTTCAGTTTCTGTCTTTTCTGGATAGATATAATTTGTGAAGGACCTTATGGTGTAGGCAAGAGCAATTTTAGGCAAGGTTTTATACAGCTCTTCCATCATACTTATTGTTAAACAAAAACATGTCTATCATATGGCAATCAGAAAGTTAATTCTGACAGATACTTTTGAAGGCTAATCTTACAGCTCATCTTAGTACTTCCACTGTTAGCGATAGTAAAACTGACTATTCCCTGTTAGTTCCAATGCTGCTATTAATGGGATTTGGCAAGTAGACCTATTTGCCCAATGAGTTGCCTGTGTTATCTGCAGGTAGGTACAAAGAAGCAGCGACTCTCTTAATTTCTAAATATCTATCCCAGCAGCAAAGTTAATTGCTATATTCTTTCTCCTTTTTTGTCTACATGAAAATATTAACAACTGGATTTATCAGTTCAGCAAACAGATGTATTACGTATTCTGCATTTATCTAGGCTTTATTCTTTAACTCATGGTGTTGTCCCCCCAACCTCTCAAGAGCATTTTACATGTTCCTAAGATTTAAAAAATACAGAAAACAAGAGGAGAAAGTCTGAATGGCACCTTTTTTACTTTCTGTGTGTTACTGATTATAGTCCATTCTCTAAGCAGTTACAGAAGGAAGTATTCTGGGCTATGTTTTCATTGTGGATAAGATGTGTTCAGTTTTCACATTAGGAAAATGGGTAGGGTACACAAAACAGAGGAAGTTAAAATTCCTTTAAATAGCTTGTTTCACTAAATGCAGGATATATTCAAATGTTCATAATAATATGTAGTAATGTATTTCTTCCTTAGGAAGATAATTATGAAATTATAATGCTGTATTTACTTGCTTACTAACATACACCTTTTCCTCTAAAATTAAAGGGTTTGTCTTAAGTGACAAAAGCTGATTTTTATTCACTGGAATGGGGAGGAATAGAAGCAAGCAGATGCTGTGCTCCTTGCCTCTGGCCCCAGCAACCATAAAGGGTGGAGTCCTATGTTAACCCTCTCACAGCTGTTGCTTTTGGCTGAGCATTGTAGCTTCTGCTTCAGCAGCTGAGCGGCTGCATACAGTATGTAGTATTTTGATGAAGTTTGTGGTATGGAAACAACCCTTCATAATTTACAGGAATTTATATGAAGAGCTAGTTACAGTAAAGAAGTAACAGTCCTGCTACTGTCCCTACAAGGGTTGGGGGCCTAGCTTTGTTGCTGCCCTGCCATGCCAGGAAGTTACTCCTACTTCACACAGACTTTCCAGAGTGTCACTCTGAGTATCTCCAGAGTGACACTCAGTGTTTCCCGGAGGACTTACTCTGTCATACAGTCAGTTATAACTTTGGAAAAAACCTTTTTTCTATGTTATGCTCCCAGAAACAAGATAATGTGTTTTATTTGGGGGCATGTCTTATGTAAGAAAATGCTGTGTAAAGCATAGACAAAAGTTTGTGTTTCAGGTATTGTGAAACTTCAGTTTTCCTTTAACAAGGTGTTAAAGGGAAACATTAAAATGTGAAATTTACAAGTTTTTCACTTTGGAATAACCATTAAATTTGTCACTTTTGAGGCTATTTCTGTTGTACAGGAGCCAAGTTAACTTCTTCTCACTATTTAGCATGAGATTTTGTAAATTGGTGATTGGGAGTAGAGGAAGCATTTATGACTGGCCAATGAGTAGTGAAAGGGTGTACACTGAGGGAGGATCAGCATATGTAATGGATTTCAAAGGAAAACAGCAGAAGGAAGGTGGCCAAATACCATAGCTTGAAGAGACAATGGAAAGGGAATTTTGGGAAGTAGTAAGAAAGAAACGAAAGTTAGAACAAGATTTGTATCTGCGGCTGTCCATAAGAAAGGAGAAAGAAATAGGCTGAGAGAATGAAGCAAGACCTACTAATATGTATGTAATTATTGGTTTTTGTTGTATTTAAGGGTATGTCTGTTTAAAGTTAAAGTTTCTTGATAATATCAACATTATAATAGCTTTAGATAACAAACAGTGATTAGAAAGTTTTAGAAAGCCATATGATTTCTTCAGTTGACAGGGAATTTTGGGGTGGCTGCAGCCTCCCCCGTAGCCACCCCTCCCAGTGCTGCTGCTGCCACCCACCCTGCCCCCTCCTGCTCCAAGCCCAGCCCCACACTGGGAAGAAGCCAGCACATCCCCTGGCCTTGTGCCCACAGCAGGCAGCCCACCCTGTCCCCGCACACAAATCCAGGGGGGCACATGCACCCTAAGGATGTGTTTAGCAGCAGAGAGCTAGCCCCCTCCCTGCGCCCCCTGGACGAGCCGTCTGCAGGTCCGTCCCGCTCCCAGGGTTGCATTCACCACCCTGGCTGGACAGCACCTGTCCCTCCCCTACTCTCCCTCACCATGGGGACCTCGATCTGCCCCACCAAACCCTGTCCCTCCTCCTCCCCTCCCCCCCCGCAGACTTACCAGCTGGACTCTGCTCTCCAAGCTGCCAGACTGCATTCCACGCTGCGTGCATACTGCAGCTGCATGCCTGCATGCAGCATTTATCAGTGACATTATTGGCCAAAAAAATGTCCTGTTATTGGTGCCGATCCAATAAGCGACTGATATATCAATGCACGTCTAGTTTTAGAAGTTTAAAAAAGCTGCTTATGCAACAGCTTTACTAAAAACCATTCAAGATGGGTTTAACCTGCCATGGTTTGGGGATAGAATGCTGTTTCAAATCATTTTATTCTGATTTTACTTTTCATGGGGTAACCATTATATACTTTTCTTAACCTGCCTGTGCTTCATTTTGGAAAGTTTTCCAGATTTTCTTACACAAAGTGTCTTTATGAAAAGAAACTAAATTCATAACTCACAGCTCTTCTATGAGCTACGCATCTTGTTTTTCAAGCATTTATTAATTAACAGATTAGTATAGCTTTGACTAAATGTAATTAGTCAACTCTTGCAGCTGCTTTTTTATCATCTTATGTCACTGTTTGACTACAGAAGAACAATGGATGTAGTGTTTCAAAGCAAAGTAAGGTTACACAATTAAATCTGGGCTATATCCTGTCTTACAAAAAACAAAGAAATGCTGAAACTGTTTTTCACAGCTCAACATATGGGGTCATAACTAATGTTGGAGATGATCGAACAAAATTTTCAGTTTACGGAAAGAAAACCCCAGCATTCCAAGGGGCATGTCTACACATGTGCTTTACTGCGCAATAGACTAATTTACTGCAAAGTAAAGCATCACCATCTAAACATGCATGGAAATTGGGCCAGTGTAGACTAATTTAGTGTAGACAGCACTGTCAGATACAGGTACTATTAATTGCACATGTAGGCACACCCAGGGAAAGTGAAATGACCAGTGAAAACAAACACTTTGGGCATCTATACACATGCTTCGGGGGTGGGGGGGGGGAGGTGCTTTAATTAGAGCGGCTCTGATACTCACTCTAATTAAAGCACCCACAGTGTCATGTTTATTCAGCATCCCACACTTCAAAACGTCAGCAGAGGTGCTTGAACTAAAACTCATTGGACAAGCATTAGTTCAAGTGCCCCCACCGCCATTTTGAAGCATGGGGACTCTGAATGGACATGACATGGAGGCTGCTAGGGTGCATTAATTAACATGCTTAGGTAGATTTGATTATCACATGTCGAAGCAGATGTCCAACACATGTATAGGTGCCCTCTCTCTCAAAGCTATTATGAGCAGGACTAGAACATTAAAACATTTCCATAATGGATCAGAAGCTTCAATTGAAATCAAATTGCTGATGGAAATAAACTGAAAAAAACATAACAAACAGTTTTTTCTTTGAACCTGCATGAAAAATGAATAGCCTATTTTGAAAATGTCCTATTTATGTGTCAGGACTGTCCATATAGTAGTGCCTGGGAATATCCTGCAAATATTTGACATCCCATTTACTGGTGTAATAGCTATTTCATCAGACAGGACTGCCTTGATGAGCAGAAGAGGAAAAAATCAGTTCTTTCCATATTAAAAGCTGTAAATCTACACACACTCCATGTGGAAAGCCTATATCATTTTGGCAGATGTTCTGTATTAATTCTATACCAAACAATTTCACCTTTTGGAGATGATTTCATAGTTTATGTTTATCATTCTTTCTCTGATCACATATTCTATGAAATATGTGGAAGGAATTATTTTAGATGTGATCTGAAAACAGTAACAACAGAAACTGATCAGAGTAATTTGCTAAAACAAGTTTGCCATTTAAACTGACATAAAGAACTTTGTTATTACATCTATATTCTTAGTGATTGGTTCTCTGATA